ACCATAGGGAGCCTAAGTCACCTCCCTTTCCGGTCAGCTAATGAGTCCCCAGAAGAACAAAAAAATGAATGCAAGTCAACGGGGCTAAAAGAGCTATTTTCTAACCCGCTTTGCCTTACGCCCTGGATCACACATAAGTTGTACTGCAATTTAAATGAAAACTAATGATGGGTGTTTTGACCACGCCTGTCACGTACTTTGAGATTTATCAGCTTGTAATTGTTCGTAATTATCATGACTACATCAGCACGTCCTATATGTGACATCACCACATAATCTCCTCTCCTCTAGCATATAGCTCCTACTTACCAAATGATCAGCTATATGTTGGTTCTTTCCTCGTGAAGGAAGGATTTGAAGTTCGCTGAACTTACAGCCCTCTCCTTTTCTCTGTTTCTGGTTCGACGACATCACTTTTTTGAAGCGCATTTGTACTCCTACTTATTTTCACACTTAACCTAAAATAGCATTTCCCCCATTCGAAAATAAACACATTTTTGGTATCAAAATGCTTCTTTAAAATTCATGGACACCATATGTGAAATCCCTGACACATAACAAGTGGAATTAGAAAAGAGTGTTTTTGGCACCATTGACTTGCATTAATTTTTTTATTCTTCCGGGGTCCAAAAGTAGATGGGTATGACTTAGGCGCCCTATGACTCCATACCATCTTCTTGTGCCTTCTCTCCTTTTGAACCCTGCTTTTTTCCAGTCAGAGAACAGCTCTGCCATTTATTAGTCATTTCTTATAACCCTTTCACTATGTTTTCATGACTCACAAACACATATGTCTAAATAAATAATTTTAGATGATTAAAAATTAACTGTTGGTCTATCGTTTGTAGCGTGATGAATTGTCCATCTTTGCCCTAAAGGCCCTGCTCTGTTCGCTCTGCCCAAACAAAATCATAAGTTTCTGACACAAGCCTAATCTACAAGATATGGGCCAAGGCCACTCATGCTCTGTGCTCTTATCTAAACTGTTGCTTCCCCGGACAGCACAAGAAAGAAGAAAGAACTCTTTTAGAAACAGAACTATTTCTCTATTAAATAATAATCAAATAATCATGTGAAGCTAATGTTCAATCAATCTGTGAAATGAGAATATTAATTACTTGATATTATAATCCTATGATAGTATTTTAATAATTGATATCACTTTAAACTAGACACTAGACTGATCACACGTAATGTTAAAAATCACATGACACATTTCCTTTACTGATCCAATCGGAACCTTCCAGATCTGACGCGAGGCGTGGTTTTGTTGGTGCTTGGTAAATCCCCTTTTGTTGGCAAATCCTGATTCGACCATAAATCAAAACATCCAAGTTGTAAAACTATGCCCCACGTCATCTTAACTTGAGTTCCAAGATTCTAGAGAAGTTGTCGGAGTGGCCAATCCGTAACTTTCCTCTTAAAGCCAAAAGAACCTAACGACAAGCTGCATGGACGTAATTTTGGGTCCCCCCCCACACACACACACACACTTTTTCCAAAGTCAAGTTTTGACCCCTGCACTTTTACCATCCAAAAGCAATATTACGCTATATTAAATTGACACTGGTTGAGCTCTAGGACCAAATGGAAAACAACCATTTGTGTTGAAGCCTGTTTCCCATTAGAGCATACTGTAAAGATACCCCCACCGCCCACCCCGTGCCCCCCCCACCCCCACCCCCACCACACACACACACTTCTAAAGTGAAAATTACATCCATGACAAGCTGGATTAAATCTTTTGCATGTTCCACCTGCTGCAACAGTTCCTTCAGAATAAAAGCTGAACCATCACGACCCTTCAGGGTCTCGCTGATGCCAATAAACTGTCATGACCTGGGATTATCTCAATACGGGACTGGTCAGCAACTGCGGCTTTGCTACAGGCTTCGATTCCAGACAAGGTCCTGGACCTCAACACCTTCTGATCTAAACGGGGGACTTCCGCTGGGTATGTAGACCGACAGATGACATTTCCAGGGGCGGAGCTTGATATGTGCAACATGTGCGGCCGAACAGGGCGGCAGTCTGCAGGGGGCAGCATTTAATTTCCCTTTTTTTTTTTTCTAAAAAATTTTTTTTTAGCATCAACCAATACATAAACAAAACGTAGAAATCGCATTTTCTTAAAAATAATAGTGATGATAATAATAATAATATTTCTGTAATAAAAGCACAACAAAGTCATTGTTTGCATTTATATTGTGATTTTATTGCGCCCCCTTGTGTCCGCCTCGCCTCTGTGGATGCAGGGTGGGATAGTGCGCTCTATAGCGCCCTTCGTCAGGTGGGGGCGGAGGGATCTCGGAGAATGATGGTGGAGGGATACAGGTACCGTTTGACATATCACCACTCACAAACATAATTGAGAAGAAATGGTCGAAGCCATCTGGTGCCCAATTTAGAAAAAAAAAAAAGAAAAGAAGAGGAGGAGAAACGAGGAAAAGATGCAGGTATGAGTGTCTTTATTATTTAGTTGGTATTTTTCCCGCCTGTCACCCAACTTATTGATTAACTAACTTCTAATCTGTACGTTTTGCATGGTGCTATGATGATCCTTTCAAATGTCTTGCTAGCTTCTTACGTCGCATGTATTTAGAACTACTTCCAACCGCTAACTTTTTCTTTGTCAAATGAGCTTTTATGAAAAGCTAAGAGGGGAAAACCGAAAGGCTGATAACTAAACGCTATCAAATAAAAATGAGTCTTCGAGAATTTTGCTGAAATACATTGATATTAGTATTGATCACCACGGCAGGTTGTCCTGCTATCTCGTGCCATTCGCCTTTCTTTTTGGAATCGGGAAATGAGCTTTGAAAAACCGAGCGGCAGCGGGCCGCTGGAGGTGCCCTGCTAGTAAGATCCCGTTTAAGCTGTAAACTACCATAAAATAAAAACTGTAATAGCTAGAGTGGTCTTTTTTTTAGCTGAAAGTTGAGACTCTCGCCTTTCAGCACATCTGTACTGTACAAGTCGATGATGTCATCATGTTGCGTTAAGTGTGCTACACGCTGCGGCTATGTTAACTCACAGTGACCAAGAAGCAGCGCGGGAGAGTTGAAGAATTTAACCAGTTAAAATGGATTCATGGATATTTAATCAATAGTCGTGGCTCCTCTTGTCATTTTGTTTTTTGTCTGCTGGAGACATTTGCTGAATAAGGAAATAAAAACTTAAAATGACAAAAAAATTAGGGAAAAACACTTGTTTTGTATCTTATTAATTATTAATGATTAATTGATTGTTGGTATTTTAACTTTTGGTAAAGGAAAACACACAATTTCCAGGCAGCCCCAGTCTGGAGAAGTGATGGTGACATCAGCCGTGAAAAATAAATAAAACTCTGAGGTTTTTATGAATACTTTGTACTTTTACTTGAGTAATTCTCTAACAACAGTACTTTTACTTGTAAATGAGTAATATTTTAGCAGTGTAACAGTACTTGTACTTGAGTACAGATTTTCAGAATTCTTTCCACCACTGCTGAGAACTGTAAATGCTCATTGTAAAATGTTAATTAAAATGCTTAAGCAACAGACGTGACATGAAGATTGTATTGTTTGTTTTATGCAACAACAGGAGCCCTACACAGATATTTTGGGATGACATCAGCTGCCACTGAGGAACAGCCATCTACCTCCACTGCTCATACCAGTAGGCCAGTATTTGAGCTCGAGGAGGGACAGTCTGCTGGCACCACACCTCCCCAGGAAGATACTTTAGGTGGGTTTTGCACATGCAAGGGCGTCAGTTTGTTTTCAGAATTGCTGGGGACAATAACCATACACTTGAGTGGGGTTTAAAAATTGCTGGGGACAATAAAGTAGGCTAGAACAGGGGTCGGCAACCCGCGGCTCTGGAGCCGCATGCGGCTCTTCCATCCATCTGATGCGGCTCTCTGTGCTTGTAAAATAATGAATGGATATTTAAATAAAATGCTTTATATTTTACTGCATTAATTTTACATCTGTATGCCAATTCTAAATGTAAAGATTGTCTGCGTAAACCTGAACAGTTCCAACCTGGTCTTACTGTGAGACCGGGTTGACGGGTCACGCTTGTGCGTAATCATAGGCGCTTCCTGAGCTGAAGAGGATGTGAGATTCTGGGATTCTCCTCAGACGGCTCATGGATGTGTCGCCACATTGGAGACAGGAACAAGCACTATTCAGCCAAAGTTTCATAATCAGGGAACATTTTCTAAGTGACAAGTCTCTCTGAGAGACCGGGTTTGGAAAACACTCGCTTCAGTGGGAGGAAGCGCTCTGGTTCTCTGGGTGGCTCTGGGGTTAATCAAGTTTAATTGTTTCTCTTTGCAACAATCTTCACAGGAAGGCAAAACAGTTAAACGGCAGGTTACATATATTTCCATTTGACTGTTTATTTTGACAGATGAACTCAAGGATGTTGCTTGGTTTGAAAGAATTACCCCGACGCACACTGATGCGCATGGATGAGCTGACATTTTAATCGTTAACGCAGATCGCGGAGGTAAAATATTCCCATCAGAACATCAGAGCTTTATACTGGACACTGTGTTCAGCGTGGCTCGGAGCGCCCATGGTGGACAGTGAGCTGAAGATCTGGGGTTCGCAGCGCAGCGCAGAACCACGGCGCATGCAATAAGATTTCCTCCCACTGAAACAGTCTGGAAACCCGGTCTCTCTGAGGGATGTGTCACTTGGAAAAATGTTCTTTTTATGAAATTATGAAACTTTGGCTGAACAGCGCTTGTTCCCGTCTCTAAAATGGAGACGCATGATGCGTAGAGACATTTGATCACGCACAAAGTTTATGTGGAGCAGAAGCGGTCGGGCCACGGCAGGTGAGATGTTCCTAGCATGAAGTGAAACTGTTTAATTGTAACATTAATATGTTACTGAACACGCTGGTCTGGTTGGTTAGACCAGTGTTTGAAGTGGAAAACACACACACACACACACACACACACACACACACACAGACACACACACACACACACACACACACACACCAATTAAAATAATGCTGATAGTGTGGACTAGAAGCCAGGTGATGGTTTATTTCGCTCCCTCCGGTTAATAGACGACACCACGGTTCTTCATTCACTGATGGATTTATTCTTCCTTCACACTTCTCCTCCAAAACACCATTAATCCACCGTGAAACTGTCATTACATCAAAGTACAGAATAACCAAACATAAATATTACAAATAAACATTAACCCAAATTCACAGATACTCTATAAATAAACACAGTTAACGTACCTCGCTGGCTGCACGTAACCATAAGGGAGTGAATCCGCTTCAGGAACAAAACTTAACAAAGGTAATTCGCTGGTTTCTTCTTCGTCTTCTCTACAGCTTTCCCTTACTTTAAACTGCTTATTTATTCATTCCTGTGACTGCGTAGGTTATAGCTCAGCTTCTTTTCACATGCTCTTTTACTTCCCTTTCCGTCACCCAAAATGGGCCGTGCGCAACACAGCATGAAACTTGGTTCCTACCCCAAAAGAAACAACAATAGACCAGGGAAATAAGATACATACATAACACAATAAATCAAACAAATTGACATAATTTAAATTGTGGCAGTTAAACTCACACCAAATCTCAACTTGAGATTTCCTTGTAGATTTGAACCTTCAAGTGATAAGCATTTACAACAGTTTAACACATGCTTATTCAGCTTCAACCAGTAGAACTATTTTTTGCACCGGCCTTTCAAGATAAACTGGCCTTGTTGAACGTTTTCCCCGTTCATCCAAAGTTGAGTCGCTAACCAACAGCTTCACCTTTCTGACCCTTCCGTCAGCGCTGGGGTACACCTCTGTGACTCTTGCTAGTCTCCAGTGATTTCGTGGAGCACTGTCCTCTTGAAGAATAACAATGTCATTGACCTTGATGTTTTTCTTATCCCCATGCCATATCTGTCTTTGCTGGAGATTAAGAAGGTACTCCTTCCTCCACCTTGTCCAAAACTCATTCGCCAAGAACTGCACCTGCTGCCATCTCTTATGCAGGTATAAATCTTGACTTACGAACTGACCTGGAGGTGGCAAAATGATGTTAGACTTCATCAGCAGAATGTGATTTGGTGTGAGCGGTTCAAGACTTGTTGGATCATTCAGGTGCTCTGTTGTCAGGGGTCTGCTATTTATTATAGCCATCACTTCATACAAAAATGTCCTAAGAGAGGCGGTGTCAAGTGTTTTAGCAGACTGATCAAGAATTGCTGTTAGGACACTTCTGACTGTCCTTATTTGCCTCTCCCAAATTCGTCCCATATGGCTTGACGATGGGGGATTCATTACAAACTCACAGCCATATTCCTTCACCTACTCATGATCCCAGTTCTTCATTGAGTCCATGAACTTTCTTTTTGCGCCCAAAAAGTTGGTACCTTGATCACATCTCAACTGCCTAACATTCCCACGTATTGCAATGAATACGCGCAATGCATTGATGAAAGCATCCGAACTGAGGTCATCAAGCATCTCGATATGTACAGCTCTGCAACACATACAAGTGAAGAGAAGGCCATACTTCTTCAGTTCCTTTCTTGCATCCTTCACATAGAATGGTCCGAAGCAATCCATGCCACAATATGTGAATGGCGGGGTTATTTCCACTCTGTCCTTTGGCAAATCTGCCATTTTTGGGTCGTGCTTGTTCCTTCTATACTTTCTGCATGTGACGCACTTAAAGATGTGTGAGGCAACTGCACCACTGCATCCAACGACCCATATCCCATTAGATCGCAACTCATTTACAGTCATACCTCTTCCTTGATGCTGCACCTTCTCATGATAATGCTTTCACTGAAGTAAGATTCCAGCACCTTAAGTACGTCTTCTGGAGCAGTCAGTTCTTTAATTCTTGTTTTGAAGACATAATGAACATTGCTCTTCAGATTACTTGTTACTTTGGGTTCAGGAATCACTTGCCTTACAATGATGCGGTGACTTACTCCAATTGCATCACTGTAGTTTTCACTTGGATCACCATAGCTTACTATGCTCCAGCCTACGTCAGTTTTCTGTGCGAAGGGCTGGTTGTCCTCACCACATACAACTTCTCTTGGCATCAGTGCTTGTGGACAGTTATACCCAATAAGAAGACCGATTTCACAGTTCTTCGGCGGGGCAATGTGTTCTGCAAGATGCTCTAAATGAGGCCATGCCCTTGCTGTCTCAGATGTTGGAATGTGTGTGCGATTGGCAGGTATGAATTCACGAGTGTAGACCGTTGGCACTGTGATCTTCTTAAAAGAAGATAACCCTCTTATTTGTAAACCTTTGATTCTTTTGCATGGTACAATTGTTTCCTTGGACGACATTGTGGACAGCTTCAACTTGACTGGCTCTGCATTAACATCAAGAGCATCCACTACTTCTTCAAGAATGAATGAAGAGTCACTTTGTGAATCTAACAGAGCATAGACAAGGACCTCTTTATTTGAATTACCAGGCATTGACGCGTAAACAGGAACTATTGCTGAAGTCTGAGCACTGTTACCATCATGTACAACTCTATTGGATGTGGTTTCTTGAATGGTGTCTTGCAGCGATTGTAGCGTTCTTTCCTTAATGCAACTCGTCCCATCATTTTCTTGTTGTTTTGAGCGATCCTCATGTAAGCATGTGGGGTGACGCTTAGAGCAGGTGTCACAGACCATCCTGTTGCTGCAATTCTTGGATTGATGGCCAGGACTCATACAGCCGAAACACAGTTTCTCACCTTGAATGAACTTCACTCGGTCAGCAACTGGCCTTGCAGTTAGTCTACGACACTTGTGCAGGACATGTCCTGTTTTCTTACAGAACATACATGTGCTTATGTTCTTCTCAGTGGTGTTAGTGGTAAAAATCCTTGCACTTGCTGCTTGGCTCTTAGGGGTCACTACATTCTGCGGTTTAGATCTTGTCCTTTCCTGCTCCCCTTGCCGCAAAGCATAGTAAGATGTAACAGGGTTACAAGAAATACTAGCCTCCAAGGTCAGGAAAGTTACGAAATACTTGAAATCTGGGAACTTCCCATGCTCCAGCTGATACTGTGTGGCTTTTCGGTTCCATCTGCTGCTTAACCAATCAGGCAACTTGGCTGTCAGCCTTTGATTTTTGATGTCATCATCAAGAATACGCAGACACTCATTGTGAGTCATGGCACATTCACAACTGCGTAAAAAAATCCACAAATTTCCTTAAGTCAGCGCTCTCTCTTGACGCTATTTTTGGCCAGGCATGTAATTTGTCTCGGCAGGCCTTTGCAGTCATAAAAGGCTGGCCGTATCTCTCATTGAGCAGTCCCCATGCAGCTACATATGCAGTATCTGAACCAATCAGGAAATAACCTTCTAATGCCTCTCTAGCTGCTCCTCCAACATATTTCTGAAGAAAGAATATTTTCTCTGAACTTGAAATATTTTTCCTTTCAATAAGAGTTTGGAAGGATAACTTCCAATGATTAAACTTGAGTGGATCACCATTAAAAACTGTGGGCTCTGGAATCGGTAGCCTATTTGCTGATATAGCCTCAGCTAAGACTTTCACAAGCTCTCCTGTGCTGTCTTGAAGCACATGTGTTGGCACTGCATCCTTTGGTGATTGTGAGTGCCAGTTGTCAGATTTCAATTGGTTCAGTGGCTGCATAACCTTATGTAGATCTAGGCTCTGTGGAGCATTCCCTTGTGCTGGACTGAGCTCATTCTCATCATACACTTGAAGCCTTGCTTTGGCTGCATTCATCCTTTTCAAATTCTCTAAAAGATCAAGCTCTCTCTTTAGGTTCTCTACAGACCTCTTTCTTGCAGCATTCTCTTCTTGCTGTTTCTTTAAGAGAGCGGCCTCTTGTTTCTCTCTTTCTATCCTGCGTTCGGTTTCTTCTCTTTCTCCTTCAAGACGACGAGCTAATGCGGCTGCTTCTTGGTCTGCGATGATCAACCTCTCTTCAGCTTCAAGCTTTTGCAGCTTCTCTTGGTGGTCCTCTTGTTCAGTCATAATCTGTAGTACAGCCCGTGTAGCTGCATAATCGGCAGCAGCTTCTTGTCTTCTAAGTGAAGATACATTTGAGTGAATAGAAGATGCTTTAGAACCATTAGAGGCAGAAAGTGAAACACTGGAAGTTGAAGATGCGAATACAGAACTGTGATCTGGCCAAATCAACTCCTCAGCTGTACGCTGTATTTCAAATTGAGCATTTTGTAATACAGTCTTGGTGATCGAGATGCAGTTATCCATCTTGCGACGCATGTCATGGGATGGTTGATCAATTTTTCGGTAGTCATCATAAGCAATGTTCAATTCAGATAATTCCCTTTGAATACCGATGATGTGTTCTTGTAGGATGTCACTAGGATCCTGCTTTAACACAGATCTTTTAGCTACTTTAATTAGAGCTTTCCATCGTTCATATTTGCTGTGAAAGCAAAGCACTAGCCCCTTGATTTGCTTTTTCTGAAACTCCTTTCCCTTTTCTGTTAATGTCCGGGCTCTTTCACTTCTACGAGGCACTTCAGGTGGTGCTATATTTTGCCCGATATTTGATTCATCTGTCTGCTCTAACTCGGTCTCTTCTTCCAGAGCAGCTGCTGCACCCTGAGCTTCTTTACTTGTATGTGACATTTTGATTATTTGTACACAGGCAACATACAAGAGCAAGCTGCAACACTATTTGTCAATGCTGAATAAGGGGCTTAACTAACTAAAGTCACTCTCCATGTAGCATATTACAGAGTAAGTACACTTAACAGAGTTCTTCTTATAACCTGTCACACACCGAACTTGTAAAGACACTGAACCGTAAATACAAACTGGATATCTACCAAATGTACAAGGTGTACTTCTGCTCCTTAAGAGCCAACTATTATTATTCAACTGAACATGAATTTACATGTCTTACTTAAGTTCACATTCATATACGTGAAACACCGTGGCTGCCAGGTTATACACAGTCCCTCTTAGTTTTCAACTCTTGTGTCACTTTTCAGACCAAAACTTTAGAGTCTGACTTATAGACTTCTTCATGAAAACCTTATGAACCTGTGTGGCCTAAACAGTGGCTTATCTGTGTTCCCGTCTTGATGAGCTGCCGAACTTGCGCTGATAGGGCATGTTTGGGCCAGCGAGTTTGACTTTCGCTCCCTCCGGTTAATAGACGACACCACGGTTCTTCATTCACTGATGGATTTATTCTTCCTTCACACTTCTCCTCCAAAACACCATTAATCCACCGTCAAACTGTCATTACACCAAAGTACAGAATAACCAAACATAAATATTACAAATAAACATTAACCCAAGTTCACAGATACTCTATAAATAAACACAGTTAACGTACCTCGCTGGCTGCACGTAACCATAAGGGAGTGAATCCGCTTCAGGAACAAAACTTAACAAAGGTAATTCGCTGGTTTCTTCTTCGTCTTCTCTACAGCTTTCCCTTACTTTAAACTGCTTATTTATTCATTCCTGTGACTGCGTAGGTTATAGCTCAGCTTCTTTTCACATGCTCTTTTACTTCCCTTTCCGTCACCCAAAATGGGCCGTGCGCAACACAGCATGAAACTTAGTTCCTACCCCAAAAGAAACAATAGACCAGGGAAATAAGATACATACATAACACAATAAATCAAACAAATTGACATAATTTACATTGTGGCAGTTAAAGTTTACGTATTTAAATGATGATCAGGCTGCTGTAAAATGTAATCTCCATCCACATCCAGACACAATTATCCTCTATTCTGTCTCTATTTGCTCTGCTCTTGTCTGGGCTGACGTAGCTGATGGTGCGAGTGACGCGCCTAACTAGCCGCTGATGCACATTTTAAGCATTTGGAGAGGTGGGCTGGATGCTTTGCGTTTACTGGAAGATGGTCCACTTAACGCACGGGTGTAGACTACATATTAATGACAAATGAATGAAAATTAAATTGTGAGTTTTTACTTCATATTTTATAAATAAAAAGGACGAGGGAACACATTTATGACGTCTTTTTAAACTAAATTTTCTAGCGCGACCTGCCTGCTTCACTTAAGTCACTGCTTATTAAGGTCCGTCCAGAATTACCATGGGAAACGGGTAATAATGGCTCTTTGATGGGAACAGGTTGCCGACCCCTGGTATAAGATCTGAGCTGGTAAAACAAAAATCCTCATCAGCAGGCGTTTTTGAAAGTGGGGGGGACACAGCTGCCAATCACAAATTTTGCCGGGGACATGTCCCCGGCGTCCCAGTTAAAATGACGCCTATGTGCACATGTGTGTGTGTCCAACAAACATTTAGCTACAGACATTTAAAAAGTATTTTCACAGAATATGGGAATTGTTCCATATAGCAATGTGGTGAGTTATGCTTCTATTTTCTGTCAATAGAGAGACCTACCAGTATATGTGAACTTGATGAGGGACAGCCAGCTGCCACATCTCCCCAACAAGATACGTCAGGTAAGTTTTGCACAAGTGTGTGTGTGTGTGTGTGTGTGTGTGTGTGTGTGTGTGTGTATGTGTCCTGCAAACATTAGAGAAATTTGAATGTCACATATTGTATTTTAATAGAATATGTGAAATGGTCCACATAGCAATGTGTTGAGTTATGCTTCTGTTTTCTGTCAATAGAGAAGCCTGAATGATCAACCAGTGAGTCCCATTGAAGGTGATGATATATATATATCATTTTACCGTATTACATTTAAATTTCATGGTTAAACAGGGTTAAAATGGTAGTTAGCTAGCTACTTTGATAAGCTCAGCTAGTGCAAAGCGGCAGTGACCTAAAATACATAAATATAATTTTACTTACTGAAAAAAATTAAGTGGAGACTCCTTGGACGCTCTATTAATGCAATTAATACCACAGCAAATCATTTTGTCCAACAATTGCACAAATAATATCCAAAAAAGAACGCACAAATAATACAACTAATGGTCTAATTTGAGAGACTAAAAATCGCGGAACAGTTTTCAGGTGAGGCCGAGGTTCAGACTGAGGCCTTTCCACAGAGCTAGCTCTGCGGTCACGTGGGTCTGATGCTCATTAATTATTCAGAATTTTAGGCTTTTAATATACTTAAACAGAAGAGTGACAAAAAACATCACCCCCCTCAGAGTTGTGTTGTGATTTGAAGTTGTAAATTTATATACTGTAATTAGATAATTTAATGATCTGATTTTGTATACTTATACACTGTAATTAAATCTAAATAATCAATCAGAAGTGGTTGTTTTTATCATCAGGGAGTTTACTTAAACACTCTGTATTGACTGAGAGACAAGAAAAGATAGAGAGTTGGGATTGTTTAAGAATCTTTAATTTCTATGATTATAAATTCTTACAATCTACCAGGACCATCTCAATGATGAATGCATATGGATTTAGATGTTTCGTGTTGGTGTGTGTGTGTGTTTTGTTCAGAATCTCTAGGCTGACGTAGCGAATCTGGTTTGTTATGACTAGGCTACCACGAGGCTTCAGAAGCTGATGACATGAGCCGCCATATTGCCGTGACCACGTTACCGTATATGGAGTCTCCCGTGTAGATCAGGAAATGCCAGGTCCTGGGACCCTCGGTTGTACTGGAGCTGGTGAAACAGCGGTCGCAGCACTACAAAGCCCGTCTGAGGATGACTCCGGTAGTAGTCGGCAGGCGTCAGCAAGTTCACTCTTATTTTGAAGGAACGTTGTCTCGTTGGCACAAACAACGGAAATCTCCAGCTTGACAGATCTCAGCTTAAAACAGGAAATACAGCTGGCCAGCCTGTACTCCTCTTTGCAGTGATGGATTGAGAGCTGGTTGAAAACAATGTTGAGAGTATGATGTAACTCCTTGGAGCTCGGATCGAACAGAGCTGATGTCAACGTGGAACTTAACGTGGAACTGAACTTAAAATGGCGTTGCCTTCTTTTTATATCTCCCAGTTGTTTATGAATCTTAGTAAACCGGATTGGACACATTAAGTAAACATCCCAGATTCTCTCTACGACAGACGAAAGTTCTGATTGGTTGAAAACAATGTGTCATGCGTTTCCATGGTAATGTAGATCAGTCTGTCTGGTGCAGCCCTGTTTATTCATTTAAACACATAACTCATGACATCTTTATTTCACAGATCATTCACCTGATTATTAATGATCAACAAATGCTTTGATTAGCTTATCTCAAATAAAGTACTTTGATTAATCAATGAAAAGTGTTCTTCTTCTGTTCTTCTGTCTCTTCTCCTGGAATGTAAACATACTGAACCAAGCGTCCGACCTTGGCGATGTTACTGTGTGAAGGGGCAGCTGTTAAGGGCAGACCATTATAAACTTCCTAACGCTACAGTTGTAATGAGTGTAAACTAGATCATTTAAACCTAAAACATGTTTTGGAACCAGGCAGTAAACATGTTTATATCAGCTGTGAAATTGGTATTTTTAACATGGGAGTCAATGAGGATTTGCTCACTTCTGACACCAGCCCCCAGCGGATGAGGGTGGAACTGCAATTTATTTCACTTCCGTATTGGCTTCACTTTCAGACCCGAATTGTGGGGGCTTGGTGCGTACTCAATTATTTGTAATTGTAAGAACTGAAGTTACACACGAAGATGTAAACACAAGTTACAAATCAAGAGTTACACACATACAAATCTGGATACACACACAAATCTAGATACACACACGCACAAATCTAGACACACATGCACAAATATAGACATACACGCACAGATCTTTTGAAACGTCTTCCTCCCCATAAACCGATCTGATAGTAAAGTTTTTGAGCTAAATTGTGGGAAAAGTGTGGGTGTTTAACCTCCTCATTAGAAAAAAAAGTATTTGCGCTAAAATACCCATATCCCCCACAAGTGCAACACCCATGTGTCTGTCTCCCTTACAGACAGCCGGTGTTACATCTATAACTGCCTCCTGCTTGGTGAAGGACACTGATTAGCCTGAACTTTATTGATGTAAAGCCTTGCTATCTCTCCACACTTCTAAGAATAAAATAAGCTAAAACTTGAGTGCTTCTGAAATAGTTCTCGGGCTGATTGAGACTTTGTTGGAGACCTTTTCCTCCAGAACAAAGTTCTGCTATGTCCGTAAACTTGATTCTGGCCGATTGGAGTCTCTACTAAGATCGTGTTTGCATTCTGTTGATTCAGAACTACTGAGATGACATGCATCCATGTTTGGAGAGACTTAGTTTTCTTTCCGTCGGTGACCTGGTTGAGTACGGTTAAAGTCGAGTGAATTTCTCATAGATTGAGGTCACTCGACCTCATGCATACATTACCTGAAGCCCACCTTGACCTCCCATCTCGAATGATATGAAGCTTTTTGTTTACTCGGCCCATTTCTCAACAAGGCGCTCTGCAAGGCGGGAGACTTTCCTCCATATGAAATGTGTTGCAAATGGGAAATAATGAGTTGATAATGAGCATTAAATGAAACATCAGTGAGACATTCTGATAAACTGACATTGTTTGGGAGTTTGTTTTGAATGCATCACTTTAGATTCTGGAGTCAGGTTTGATTTCCCATTACTGATCGAGGAGTTTAGTTTCGTATTGGCAGCAATAAGATCTGGTGAGAAAGTGGTGTTGTGTTTAAGTTCCTCTGCTTTTTTACTACCTTTAGTGACACCTTAATGTGAAGATTTACATGTTTTTTGGGGGGAATCTGCAGTCAGTTTCTCAAAGTCTGGTCTGGACATGAGACCTCTGACTCTTGATATTTGATGAAGGTGATAAAACACTGATTTATGAAAAAGTTAATCTCAAAATAAAAACATGATAAAAATAAACATATCAAACTGATATAAAAGCTACTAAAAACAGATGCATTCTCAAACTGAATTAAAAGCAACTGAGAACAGATGAGTCTTTAAAAGCTAATTAAAACCAGACAGTGATGAAACCATCCTAATCTGAATTGGGAGTGCATTCCAAAACCTTGGAGCTGACACTGAGAAAGCTCTATCACCCCTGAGCTTTCTCTTTGTTCTCGGCACCTCCAGGAGAAACTGGTCGGCTGACTTCAGTGACTGAGACGGGGAGTAAGTAACTAAAAGTTCACACAGATACTGCGGAGCAAGGCCATGTACAACTTTAAAAGCCAATAAAAGAACCTCACACTGGACCCTAAAATCGACAGGCAGCCAGTGCAGCGAAGCTAAAATTGGGGTAATGTGCTCCCTCTTTCTCGAACCCATCAATAGGTGTGCTGCTGCATTTTGCACCATTTGAAGACGGGAGAGGTGAGACCGAGGAAGACCAAGGTACAGTGCGTTGCAATAGTCAAGGCGTGATGTAATAAACGCATGAATCACTGTCTCAAAGTCATGACTTGAGAGCAGATGCTTAACCTTGGCGATCCTCCTTAACTGATAAAAACTGGCTTTGGTGACAGCCCTGATTTGCTTTTCCAGAAGCAGATCACTGTCAAGCCGGACTCCCAGACTGGTTGCTACAGGTTTCAAAAATAGGGCTAGTTGACCAAGGTCAGCAGAACATGGCCCACTAGACACACTAGGATTAAAAAGCATGACCTCTGTCTTGTCATTATTAAAATGTAAAAAATTTGCAGACATCCAGGGTTTAACCTCATCGAGGCAGTTTAGAAGAGGATCTAAAGAATTGGGTAGGCCACATTTAATGGGAATGTAAACATGGGTGTCGTCTGCATATAGATTAAAAGAACATCCATGTTTCGTAAAAATAGAACCCAGAGGTAGCAAATACAGAGAGAACAACAATGGGCCCAGCACAGATCCTTGAGGAACCCCGCATACGAGAGGCGAGCGAGATGACGTGAAGCCACCTAATGATACACAAAATGACTTCTCAGCCAAATAGGACTTAAACCAGTCCAAAGCAACTTCTTTAATCCCAACAGACTCTTGTAACCGTGAAATCAGAATGTGCCTGCAGGACAGGAAAATAGTCAAATAAAAATGAGAGAAAAAAACTGTTAGATAAGAGATTTATCCCACTACACATTTTTACTTTATAAAGAAATATATAATATGAGCATAATACAATACATATTTTATGCAATTCAAATCACCTTAAATATCCAGTCCCACACCCCCAGGCATTTTGGGGTGACTGGAGACATTACCGGTGCAGTAAGTGCCCCCTACATTAAAACGTCAAAAAGGGTGCTCTCTCCCAGATATGACTGTTTATTTACTCAT